GGCCTCTAGGAGCAGTTCAATTCATATGAGGTGACACACCACTAAATGTCTATGAGGGAAGCTGATTGTTTCTTTCTTTTATTTCCTAACAGCATGTTGGTTGAGCGTATAGACGAGGATAAGGATGGCTATGTGACAGCTGAGGAGATGAAGAGGTGGATCAAGCATGCTCAGAAGAAATGGATCTACGATGATGTGGATCGACAGTGGAAGAGTCATGACCTCAATAGTGATGATATGGTGTCCTGGGAAGAGTACAAGAACGCCACATATGGCTACATTCTTGGTACGGCTGCAGAAAATCTTCTTTATATACACTTGATATATCCCTGACCCGTGTACTGCTTGGACACAGACACACATTTGCTTTGCCACACTTCAATATGCTATAAAAAAGTTGTTAACTCTGACTTGCAGATGATCCCGACCCCGATGAAGGATTCAGCTACAGGCAGATGATGGATCGCGATGAGAGGAGATTCAAAATGGCTGACCAAGACCATGACCTGAAAGCAAACAAGGAGGAGTTCACAGCCTTCCTTCACCCCGAGGAGTACGACCACATGAAAGACATTGTAGTGTTGGTAAGTGGCAAACACACACAGGCGTGAAATAGATTGATTTCACCTTATTATGAGAATATTTTCTGACAGTAGTCTTGCGCCACATACATGCACTGTTTCACATAAAAACAAGTAAGGTTTGTGGATGCAATTCAAACAATGTAATTGTTCCCTTTTACATATCGTGTTTGACTCTTACAGAAACCTACTTGGAAACTAAACTCTGATTTAATGATGTCAATAACTATGCTTCACACCCCTTTCAATGCGATGTGGTTTCCTCTTTTCTTATAGGAAACAATGGAAGACATTGACAAGAATGGAGATGGTTTAATTGATTTAGACGAGTACATAGGTGAGTTCGTAAAGCCCAATTTCATATAAGCATCATCACTGTGTACCACATGTTGTTGTTGTTGTTAGTGGCAAACCTAGACAGATAAAGAATACAATGTTAAAAAGTGTGAGTTTTGGAGGAACCCTTATGAAATGAGTATACACCAAATACTATAAGAACTTGTTCCAAAGAAGCATTGCATCATCATCATCACCATCTTTCTGTGGTGTAGGGGACATGTACAACCAGGAGGGAGACTCGACAGAACCTGAATGGGTGAAGACGGAGAGGGAACAGTTTAATGAATTCAGAGACAAAAACAAAGACGGAAAGATGGACAAGGAGGAGACCAGAGACTGGATCCTGCCCAGCGACTACGACCATGCTGACGCAGAGGCCAAGCATCTAGTCTATGAGTCAGATTCAGACAAGGTACGTACTGTGGAATTGTCCTCACATTTTTCCTCTACTCAATATTGAGGGAAAGTAGTATGCATGCGTAAAAGTGTGCCTTACATTACTTCGAAATTAGTCTGTTTGAATGATTGTACTGCAGGACTACACAATACTGAGAACATGCGTGTTAGATTTGTCTGATATCGCAATGACTGTTTCAGTATTATTGAAACAAAGAAGAACAGTAAGTATTCAAGTTTATATTGATATAAGTATGTTTGAAATTATTATTATTATTATTTGTAGCTGTTTATTTTATTATTATTATCAAGCCATCCAGTGACACTTGTCCTTCGGTCTGGGGTGTGTAATGCAGCCAACACTGACCATGTCACTTTAAGACATTTCAAATGATAATGATGACCTATTTACAGCTATTACAAAGTATGATAAATGAAAGCGATACTAGCTTTAATGTCACCCCGGATTGTATTGTTGCCCTTATTATTGTGTGATTAAGATGAGATGAGATATCTTTTTCATAGTCTGCATCAAGTAACGCTAGTGCGGATCATGCTAAACATACCAAATACCTACAATAATGACAATAAGAACATCCATATAATGGGAACATTCTTTGTGTACTACTGACACAAATACAAGGCTTATCGTGATTTTAAATCTCACTCCTTCAGGACGGACGTCTGACCAAAGCAGAAATCGTGGATAAGTACGATCTGTTTGTGGGCAGCCAGGCAACCGACTTTGGAGAGGCTCTGACTCGACACGACGAGTTCTAAAATCCTCGGCTTCCACAGACTGTGTTCATCTGTGTTCACCTCTTACAGCAGTTTGAGTTTTTCAAACAAGATGAGCTTGTCTAATCCAAAACCACGGACAATAATTTATTTGATTTGTTGAATGTGTCCCATTGTACACACACTTACACTACACATAAAGAGTGTGACCTCATGCTGAGGTTTGTGTTGGTTTGGGATATTTAGCCAGCCTTTGCTCTGCTTCCACACACTACTCTTCCGTTTCTTGGTCAGGCAATGGACAAACAGTGTTAGGTGACAATAGGTTTCTCTATTAAATGAAATAGCCATCTTTTTTATAAACCCCTTATAGATCAAATTGTATTTTGCAGTATCACAAGTTTTATTTTGTTGCAATGCACTGGAATATGAAGAGCATATTTCTAGACGGTAGAATTTGTTCTACTGCTGTCTAATCATACAATCAGGCCCAAACTGAATACTGTAGTTGCAGATTCACTTGTACTTTGTTTTTTCTAGTCTTTGTTGATCATAAAGTGGTAAGGCCGCAGTAAAGGGTGTTTGGAACGTGGAGTAAATATTAGATTCCAGTGACAATGAAGACTATTTGGACTAGTGCAATACAGTATTATCAGTGGGACCACGCTGTGTTTGCTATACTGGTCCCCAAAGCATCCATGTTAACACAAGCTGTGGGTCCTACAAAAGGACGCGTTGTGTGTTAGTTGAAGGAATCAATAATTTATGATTTAAGGGCTGATGGATGCTTTGTCCGCGACACTGCCTTCTTTCTTTTTCATAACCTCAATAGTGTGTGTGAATCTGTGTGTACATATATTACTTGTATTCTTGACCTTTTTCCCAATTTTTTTTATGTTATGTTTTGTTGAATTCAGCTGAACTAACTATGTTGTGTGCCAAGCAAAAAACTCTGTCCTGTTTTGTAAGTGGTATGAAAAAAAAAAAGGCTCCCCCCCCCTACAAACACCTCCCCCTCCTAAATTTATTTGTTAAGCTTGTATTATCACCATTTATAACCACTGTTGAGCATTTTTATGGTATACTATAATGTATATGACAATGTTTTTTTTACAGGCTCACTGCAGCGGCCACCCTTTCACTAGAGACTTTACTGTAAATATGCTGTTGGTCTGCAAACTGAGCACTCTAACAATCAGGTCCAGTTTTTGTGATTGAGAAGAATGTCTCAATAAAAACAACTACAATCGGAGCCTTTAGTCTGCTGTATTCATTTGACTTGAAGTACTAGTTGTCATGTGTGATTAACATGGCATTGGCTATTACGAGTGATGGGGTGTTAGTCACACCTTTATGGTAAAAGAAAAACAGACCAATAATAGTAAAGTTGAAAACCGCCTGTTGCATCGGAACCCTGTTCTTTCTAGCTTTATTCCTTTTAAGGAAATGCTCCGTTTCCTGCTCTCCTTCAGGCTGTTGACCTACTGTTCTCTGAGCTGCTGTTTTAGATCATTTTCCTCTTGCCATGTGTTTGAAGAGAATCATTTCCCCTCTATTCTCCCTTTTAATAAATCAAGTCTTAACTCTTTTAATTTATGACTCATAAAGAATCACAACATATGTAGCCTAAATGCTTTTGTATTTACTAATGATAATCTTAACACAAGCTTTCCTATCTCTATTTCAGTTCCCTTATACTATTTACCACGAATCTTAGCCTCAAAGGTTTAAGGGTTTAAGTTTGTATTGAATGTGTGTGGATTGGATAATTGGATAAGAACACAACTCTACATGCTGTCACGTGCTGCCTATGATCATACAGTACTGCACACTGAATGCAGCCTCTTCCTGCCCTTTATTTTATCCCAAGCTACTTTAAAAATGTAAATGTGTCTGATAACTTGTTTTATGGCTTAATACTTGCTAAATGTAATTTCCTATCAGTCTCAGATGTGTAACTGCTATTTAGAAAATACTATGTTAGTATTCAAAGCTATGACGGGAAACACGATATTAGACCTGCCAAACATTAGCATTTATTTTAGCATTGCCATTGGTGACATGTTAGCATTTTACACATTTAGCTCAAAGCTTTGCTGTGACTTTCCCCAGAGTATTCCTCTCTATCAGCAACTAAGGAAGCCCTGAGAGGTAAGAGAGAGTAAAACATGGTAATTTATTTTCTCAACTTAATCTTAATAGTTTTCATTACTTAATTTGTAGGGGGAAGGTTGTGCAAGGTGAAAAATATGTTTATTTCCTTACAGTTCAGTTCAAATTCTTTAGCACTGGAACATATGTTGTGTGTTAGCTAGTTATACATTACTGTCCTGTCTTCTTTTAGCCAGGAACATGGATGCTTTTAGTCCTATTTTGAACAAGGCGTAGAGGTGCACTGCAGCTTCTTTCGGCCAAAATTACACGCGTAAAATGCCAAAGGTCTTTTTTCACCAGTTTATATGTTTTTTTCAAGTGACTTAAATATACAAAAAATGGATCACCAGAATGTGTTTCTTGCCTCTCAAGGCCAATTTAAGCATCATATTGAAGTCACAGAGCTTAGCATCTGTTTCTATCTTGAAGGGTGGGCTTGTTATCATGTTGGGTACGTAACTCCTCTGCTTTGGTAGGCCGGTCACATTTAGTTCATGTTTAAAGACAATAATGGAGGCATCTTAAAGAGTAGGCATAACAAACTAGGCCTATAAGTATGAAAGGTGTTCACTATTTGACAGTTTTGAAAATATAGTAGTACTCAATAGTAGTACTCTGTAAAAATTGCTTGGAAACTGCAATAAACTTTAATCCCATAGAGAGAAGTGCAGCATTTTCATTTCATGTAGATTTACTTTTAATAAAAAAGACACGCACACAATATCATTATAATTTGTAAACATTAAAAGAAAAAAAAAAATATATATATATACTGATTACTTCTGGCTTTTTGTACTAACCTTGCAAAGTTCATATTGTATCCTTGATACTTCAATTTGCAATTTATACTGATAAGTTTGATTTAAAAGACTGTCTTTTAACCCTGTACTGTGCAGTCATAGTCACTCATTCCTGTCATCTAGGCTAATGTGGTTTAAATGGAACAACATTATATATGTTATAAATGTGTGTTGTTGAATGCTTATGTTTTTGTTACAGTATACATTGTGTGAACTTGTGCATTTAATTTTTCTGATGACATGTCCGCTGTCTGTCATCTACTTCTCCTTACCTCCTTCATTCTCTGTTGTATCCCCCTTCACTCTCAATTTACAATATTATAGTGACATCACGTATTAAATGTGATAAAAACAGGATTACAACGAGCCATCACTCTCAACAGTTCTTCTTCGTCTGACTCCAAATCATCATCATCATCCTCATTCTTGTGCTTGCCTGCATCCTTATTTCCAGGATTTCCATCATCAGCCACATCCCTCGCCCCGCTGCCGCCCTGCTTCTTCCCAAAGTTTGTAAAGCGCCTCATAACCTGAGATTGAGTCCCGGCACCTGCAGCCCCTCCTGGGCGCCCTGTGAGGTCCTGTGATGTGGAGGGTTGGTCTCCCTCTGTGATTGGAGTTAAAGATGGTCGCTGTGGTGTTTCTGGAGGTGTATCAAGGGGAGAAGTATCTATAAGTACCAGCCTGGCTTTTAAAGGTGCATGCTCTGGGGTAGGCGGGGATGTCCTCGTCTGCTTGGCCAGTGGCGAGGACAGTAAAGGTGAATATGGAGGTGTCTTCACACGAGGCTTGCGAAAGGGTTTGTCTATTTCTGCTGAAGCAATTTGGGTAAGACTGAATGGCACACTGGACTGAGACGAGGGGCTGGTGAAGGAGTCAGTGGGGTCATTGCTGGTTGTTGTTTTTGTAGTTTGAGAATCAGGACAGGTGAAGGGTGGAGAGCCTGTGCTATCAGGTGTTGCAGGGCTAGGACTGATGATAGGTACATCCTCAGTGAGGTCAATGGATGTATCAGTGGGTGAGTCAGGGTATTCTTCAGATGGAGCAGCAATTTGAGCCGTATGTGTGGGGCTCACCTCCTCAGAGGCCGGGTGAAGTGTAGGTAAACTATAGGACCTTTGGGGTGGTGTTAAAACATTGTTGAAGATCACAGGGCTGAGCGCAGATTCAGCTGGGATGAAGCTGGTGTCGGGTGCAGCGGTCGTTCTGGGTGGAACGGGTCCTTGGCAAGACGGGAGGTCTTGGTGGGTGTAGACGCCAGGGTTGTCTGTGAAGCTGAAGGAGGGATTGCAGGTTCCGTATTTGTCATTGTTGTATGGTATTTCCTCTGTGTTTGACATGCCACTACGGTGACTTGCCTAGAAAGAAACCACAGTGGAAATGAAAACCACTTTTGTAATGCAGAAAGTAAGTGAGCGAATGATCCTGGTTTTAGTGGGACATTTGTAGATACTGCCAGGCCCTCTGACAACCAGGCAGCCTAACATTTAATGAGTGGGAGAATCAATGACTATGTGAGTATTTTTATTTCCAGACTTATGAGGTGCCTCAGACGATGACATAAATGTATTCCTTAGAAAACATCAGTTTGGCAAGAAAACTCTCAAAGCAAGGTCTTTGTTCTGCCTGAAGCTTTTGACCACATCTTGTGGCCTTCATCTGTAAATGGGGTTAATATTTTATATTCCAAACTTAGGTCACATCTAAACAACTATCATCTCTATGAGAAAACTCCATCCGCTGATGAATTAGCATTAACAGTCAATAAATAACTCACCAGTTGGAACCACCGTAAGCTCTGTGGGAGAATATGCAGGAGAGAATCTTTAAGAAACTTACATTTACTGATCAACAAAAATTGGTATATATGATTATATAGCTGAATGTTCTCACCACATTGCGGTGCTTTCCCTGGGCCACGCAGCCTCTCTCCAGCGGGTTCCTCATTCCCTTTTTCTTCTTCTTCAGCCATATCCCCAGTATCGTTATAATTCCAATTACAGTCATGAACACCATGCTGAGAAAAAACGCCTTGCCCAGGGTGCAGCCGATCACACGGTCATCCATCAGTGGACTATGAGGGACTGCAGAGTACAGACAGACAGATGTTCAGACTGATCAGCAGTCAGCACTGAATGGCAGTGTGCAGAGTGTGTCCTTACTTGATTGTCCCTCAGATAACACCTTCACCACTACAGTAGCAAAGGTGGCGTCACCCGACTCCTGGTCTACAGCAGCTACCTGCAAAGTATGTTGAATTTTATCACATCATCGCCATCTTTTTGTATGTCTTTCTTTATAATTACATTTTAATGAAAGATAAGGGGTTGGGCAATTTGATGAACTGGCTTCACTGAAGGCTTCACTAATGTAATATTCCGTTTTTGCAACCAGACATGTTCATGAATATCAATTCAGGTTTATATTTGGTAAGTTTAGAGACATGCTTGTTGATTGGAATGTTTTGGTCAATTAATTTATAAAACATTTTTTTACATTACCGTTGATTAATTTACAAAACAGTGTTTTAATTTATTTCCAACCTTGCAGTTCCAATTAAACTGAAACAGTGAAAAATAATTTAAGTGCAATCTTTGTTAATTGGCTTTCTTATTGCATTTGAATAATTATATTAAACAAAACACAATAATTAAAAGGTATGTTGTCATGCATGCTAAAAATGAATTATCACTTCTGGGTTGTTACATTTTAATACCAGCGCTTGTGGTTAGCCTAATTATGGACTCACTATCTCAATAAGCTTTCATGCACATTAGACGGTTTATCCAAACACTTATCTATTTAGAGAAAAAAAGGATGTGAAATGTTAGCCAACAAAATGTAAATTTCAACAAAGTAAAATTGTTGGAGGCCTAAATATAAAGACCCCCGTTATGGTCTCTGAGGCTCACCTTTACAAAGTGTTTCTGTTTTGGTTTGAGCTGATTGGTCCTGGCAATCAAAAGACCCTCGTGTGTGATTTGGAAGATGTCTGTGTGATTGGATGTAGGACTGATGGTGAAGTGGATCTTGGGATTAAAACCCTGTCAATTTGTGAGGAGAAAGGAACTGATGGGTGACATCATAAATCAAATACATCATGCATGCATATGTCCCGTGTGTGGAGTAAAGTGGAATATGTACATTGTTAAAGTCTTTATCTTGTACGTGTAACATCAGTGCTTTGCTGCCGTAGGTGTTGACCAGAGAGGCAGGGCTCTTTGTCGCAGTTACAAAGCCTTTATATTCAGCCATGTCAAACTCTGGATGAAACTGGTTCACTGCCAAAACTCGGACCAAAGCTGTAGCGACAGAATACTTCCTGGGGTCATCGTCCTGGTATGCCTGGGACAAGACAAAGAGACAGAAGAAAAACAGAGCAGTGAGACTGTTACTGGGAGTAAGAAAGTGTTATTGCAGAGTGGATGTCTTACCATGAACACTGAGTATGTGAGTCTTACCATGAACACTGAGTATGTGAGTCTTACCATGAACACTGAGTATGTGAGTCTTACCATGAACACTGAGTATGTGAGTCTTACCATGACCTGTAGATGCAGCTCTGGAGTTGTGAGTCTGTCTTTAAACCCCCGCATCAGTTTAACCTCCCCCGTATCTCTGTCCATCAGGAAACGGCCATCATCGTCTCCTAGCATGAACACAACCAGAGTTACAGATGTACACATGTACGCAGATTTTAAATATGAACTTGCATTGGTGTGTGTGGTACCTGAGAGAATGACATAGCTGAGTGGAGAGCTGAGTCCTCTGTCTCCATCCACTGCATGAATGGGACCAGGAGAGAAGTCCAACACCACGTGCTGCAACGTGACACACATTTATGGGTCTTAATGCTTGGTTGAAGATTCTTAATGAAAACACAACCACTACATATCTAATGGTAGCATCTGTGTTAAGTTTAGCAGGATGAAGGCAGTGGTTATTTTATGAACATCATAAATGCACATTCTTGTTTAACATCGTGATATGTGTGTGGTGTGATTGAGGAAAGGTTAAGCAACAGACCTCTTCCCCCTCTGTGACATTGACTGTGTACACAGGGCTGGTGCAGATGCGACTGGTCTCATCCTGGAAGAGCAGCCTGCAGGGCAGGAACTCTGGGTATTGGTCATCTCCATCCTGGACGATGATGGTTAATGTGGTGCTGGTGTTGAAGTGCTCAGCAGTGTCCATTTCCTGAGAAAAGTCAACAGTTCTTACATTGGAAGAATTATAGAAGCATAGGAATAGATTTAATTTGTAGATACTTTTACTTTTATTCTGAAGTGTAGATAGCTTACCGAGGCATGGATTGTAACAGTCAGCTGGGTTTTGGTCTCATAGTCAAGAGGTTTAGACAGAATAACCTCTCCGCTGTTGGGGAGGTCAATCTTGAAGTACTCTGCATCAGGCTGCAAAATATATACACAAAATCACATAACAATGGTGCTTTCTCTCGTGGTGTTTTTTTCTTTGTGATTGAGAGTGTGAAAGGTAAAAGAGTATAACTCACTGATGCCGGGTCAATAGAGTAAATGATCTTGTCATTATCTGCATCAGAGGCCTTAACGGTGAACACCACAGTATTCACTGGAGTCAACTGGAAAACACACAGAGAAACATCTTAGCACTTTAATTTAGTATGTTTAGTGTGTGCATGCATGGGTTTGTGAACATGCCATACCTCACTGATAGGAAGAGACGTGACAGTGTCTTCTGTGAACTCAGGGGTATTATCATTTTCATTGAGGATCTCCACGACGATCCTGTACACACTCTATAACAACAACAGCAAAACTTAGAGGTTTGAATGTGGGTTCACCGAAGAGTTATGGGTAACATGAAGGGGACAAGCGTACCTGAAGTGTGTCGTCCTCATAACAGGACAACTCAGCCATTAAGACAGGACCCTGAGCCTGAGAGATGAGAGACAAAAAGGACCCTTATTTTATGTTAGCAAACATTCCAACACAAACAGAACATGTTTTTTATTTTTGTCCATTCTCATGATTGCCTAGTCTTTACTTGTTTTGTTTTTGACCTCAATTTGAACAACTTAATAGGAAGTGTAGAAAAATACAGTATAAGGCTAAAAAGAAGAAGAAATCAAAAATCCTAATAATTTATAAAATAATCTCTGGAGGGATGAGTTGGTGCTCTTGTACAAATTGTGTTCAATAAGACAATTCTACAAATAGACCCTCTTTGTGACTAAAAGCCAAGTTCGGCCTGCTTGATGAAGATGCAGTGTTGAAACTCTGAGCTGACCTGGATGTTTTTTAGAATAAATAATGTATTTACAAGGATGCAGAAGTAGATCAATTGAAAGACTGTGAGAGAGTGAGATTACTAATCTGGTTGACCCTTTAACAGCTGCCGTGATGTAAATCTACTGGCACTAAGGAGGGTGCTGGCAAGAGAGATAGTGTTCCTTCCAAGGACACGGCTGTAAGGGTCAATGATAGTCTGCTCTAAACTTAGATATAACTTACCCCAGTCTACCCTGACTTAGTAAAATAGAATTATACAGTACACATACAATTTGTAATGTTTGCATTTTATTCATGGTTTCACTATTATAAGTAAACTCAGATCAGTGTTTAAGGGGGCATTTCCGAACTCAGTTACCTCTCGGTCAAGGACCTTCTCTTCCGATGTGTTTAACCGGATGCTTGTCTCATCCAAGAAGAACCAATCAGCATCATTTCCCTCTAGGCTCCAGTGAACCCCCTCCACTGTGCTCTCATCCATGAGCTCAGCAACAACATCTCCCCAATGGCTGTTTTCTGGGATTTTTGTGAAGACATCCTGACCATCCAAACATCCACCCCACCCTGACATTCCTGTGCCAATGAAAACACACGCAGAGTGTAAGACACCAATTCATTCTGGCTATGATAGGAACCAATGTGACGTGGCTGTACCTGTAGCTGTGTGCAGACACAGGAGGACCAGCAGTGAGTGGACTAGAGCCTTGGCCTGAAAAAAACTCCATTTCAGTTCATTGAGGGCCATTACTGGGCTGATTCAGGCCTCAGAGACCAGTTCTTTCTGAGTGGAGAGAGGACACGGTTTCCTCTTGTATATTAATGAGTCACTTCTTAAGGAATATAATTAGGTTAAAACCTTCACTTAATTTACAAATACAAGCGTACACACTCTCGCTCTGTCCCATAATTCCCTCAAATCCCTTTAAAGTGGGTTTGTGCGTGACTTTCCCCAGGCTAAGAGAGCCGACTAGCAGAGTGCTAGGCCACTTTTACAGCCCTGTTTCTCTTCATGTTTTTCCTGACCTAACAATAAATGAGATGAGTAAGAATTAAACCTTGGCAGTATACGTTTTTTTTACAGATATCTGTTTAAAAACTTGCCATGTTTCTTCACCACAGAATTCAACCTACATTTTAATTTCAAGCAAATTCAACATGTAATTAATGTCTATCATGCTTTTGTGAGTCCCGGGGTGCACTGGCTTGTTTGTGTATTTAAGTGTTTCAATAGGGTTGAGTGGGTGAGGGGGGCTTACCAGGGTTTTGGGGCCACATCCTATTGAAAAAACAACACAGATGTGAGGTAAATAAACTCAGTTGTCAAGGGTATGAACAAAGAATACCTCTGCTGACTGACCTGTTGTTGTCAAATCCTCTGCAGCTTGTCTTTGATTCTCCATATCCTCCTGACATATGATGAAAGCAGCGTCACTGTTTCCCAAAGCCCAGAAAAGCCACTGAACCACTCAAAAACACAAGCTGAGGCTTCTAGACAACAGATTCAACAAAAGACAACACCAGCCACCCACACACACTGATCCCCCCCACACACATTAGAAAGCAAACAGCACCTTATGGTGTGTTATCTTGAATCAAAGTCAGCTCAGAGACTAAAGCCTGAGGGCGGGGCTTATCTAGTCAGGGAATAAGACTGAGCCAATCATTTTAGGAGATGGCTAGAACCTGATGGTGAGGTCAGAGACCGGTGTCAGAAGAAAATGTAAGAGCTTTGTCTGGGACAAAAACACTTGACCTTCATAGGCAGTTTGTTGTACAATGTAAATGTTAAAGCAGTCATATTGTCCAGTGAACTGTAGGTCAAGCTATAGTTGTTGTGAGCAAACCAGGAAATGTTGTTTTGTTGAGTAAAGTAGGACTTGGTTGCTTGTATCACACTTTAATTTGATATGTACAGCTCAGTGAATGTTATAGGTTAGAACTTGTTTAAAGTGTACGTACTTTGGCTACACAGCTTGCGCCTGTTGGATTTGTTCAATTAGCGGCACGTACCAACTAATGGGAAGTGACAAGGGATTACCTATAAAACATCGCCTGTTCACTCTCTAAAGATTAACCCACATCCTTTTTCCAACATGTCCAAGCATGCAGAGTAGACAGAGACACACTGATACTCACACTTAATTGTGTGTGTCTGCACATATCTTCAGGGCTGCTGCGATGAAAGATGGCTTTCGTCTGGCTCCAGAAATGTTTTGGTTAGTGCAGGCTTGTAAGTGGTGTCCATTGTCAGAGAAAAACTGGGGAGGGGGGCAGAGATGTAAAGTTTGCCTTAGGGAAACGTTGAACACTGCAGTCTGTGTTTCTGACAGTGAGTGCAGCGGATAAGCACTTCTCAGATCATATTTTTAGGCTTGTAGTATTTCATAGTGTTCACATATTAAGATCAGCAGTAGCAGGGTGGATTCAAAAAGATGAACAGACTTGTTGATTTGTGCTGTTGTGATTAGACATGGCCACTGGATGTCAGCAGAGATATGATTAAAAGGGTGATGGGAGATGTTTGATAGATGATAGTTGGCTTTTTGCAACTGCATTATCTGAAATGGCATCATTCTTTGATGAGGATAGTTAATTCTACTGAATGGAGACTATCACATGAAGTGTAACTCAAACACTACACTACATTGGAAATAGTTGTATCACACATATCCCTCACATGTCATGCATATTGTATGAAGCAAACTGTTTTCTCTGCATTTTGTGTTTATTGTATGTAGTCATGTGAGTAAATATGAAAATACTTCATTATGGCAAGGTTTGCATGACCATTCAAATATATAAATAACAAATGAATGCATTAACTACTCAGACACTACAATAAAAGCAATATTAGCAATGAGTGTTGCCCAATTCATATAAAACAAAGTAAATTCAGTATGCAGTAAATTAAGACTCAGATTTATGATTCTTTATAGGCAATTTTTTGACCATCAGACAGTTCACCATTTTCCTTTATAGATTAAAAATGACTCTTTGGACATTAGTGAAGGAGGATGAATCCAAAACTATGACTATACCTTTTATCTTGTTTTAAGTGGTTTAACTGGCCTGCACATTGACCCTTTGTAGTCCGAATGTAACACAAACCTACCTTTTCCACACAAGTGGAAGGCTTACTGGCTTCAAAGTAGGTTAGAGAGTAACACTTTGTTTTAGTTTGTTGAGTTCTTCTTAGAGTCATTACTGAATGATAAACATTTTACTCTAAAGTACCTTCTTTAGGAAGCTTGATTATACACTAAAGATTAAATCCTTTTACAAAAATCTGCTGCAAGTTCCTCCTGCTTTATCATTGTCTTCAATCAGCACTCTCCGTCTGAGAGTTCAATGCCATCCAGAAGGTTTGAGTTTATGTTGAAAACTAAAGCAAGCAAAGAGACCAATCCTGTGGGAAAACTTCCTAATTGTGATTATTACAGTCTAACTGGCATGAGTCACGTATGTGGTTTAGATTGGTATGTTGGCAGAGGGTGGGAAGAACTTAGTTAAAATTGTGTTTTTTAAATATGAGTGTCTTTAAACCTGGATCTCCTTCAACAGATATAATCTCAATATGTATGGAAAACAATCTGGAGTGATGAGGGACTCTCGAGTCTGCGGCATTCATTAGGAAACACCTGGGTGTCCTATCATCACATCTAAAATACTACAACAAGACAGAGGGACACATGTCTGTCTTTGTGTGGAGCAATCTGTATTCTAGCTATATTGCCTCTGATCGTGCACTCCAAAAGAAGCCCTGAAATAATAAACACAGCAGAAAAGAAGGACAACAACATAAGGGAAAGGGGGGGGGCACAGTGGGACGCACACTGGGACCATTCCAAAGCAGTGAAACATGACTACTTGTGTTTCCCCCGCCCTCTCTCTGTCTTTCTCTATCTCTGCATGCGCACACACACACACACACACACACACACACACACACACACACACACACACACACACACACACACACACACACACACAGTTTTGGCTGCTGCTTCTGTGGCTCCTCTCCAGCCTCCAGACCAGGTTTTAGCTGATCGCCGAAGCGAGTGACCTCACTCGCACTGCACACCTGAACTTTTTAGCTTGCGTGCATATCTCTCTCTTTCTCTCTCAATGGAAATAACAAGCGCATTGGATAATAATAATCAAGGATAGTAATAATCATCAAACTCTTCTCCTTTGTTATCATGGAGTGAAAGTGCGCTGTAGATATTGCCCCAGGGGGAATGTGAGTGTGTGACTGCAGAGAAGTGACGCCCTGCCTGCATCCAGATGTTTCATGTTTCCCCGCGCGCTCTTCCGAAAAGATCTGCTCGCGGAGGAAACAGGGGAATCCTTAACGCACAGCCATGTCATCAGAATAAGGTTAAAAAAACGATCAATACCATGCCTTTTGCATAAATTGTTTGGATCTTAGACCAGGCTTTCCATTGTTTCCGTCTGGAGAATGGAGAGCAGCAAACTGAGGAGGCTCGTGCTGCTGGAGATACATTTACTGTGTGTCTTTGCGCTGTCTGTGCAGGGGAACTCCAGTCCAAAACACGAGAATGGTGAGTTTAATGCAGTGTTCGGAGTTTGGTCAACATTTGTATAGGTTTTATATTGTTTATTTTGCTCTAGACTTTTGATTTGATATGGAGTTTAGACATGTGAACAAGAAATATATTACTTTGTTGAAAGTAATTAGAGTTAGATAAAGTTGAAGGTTTTTTTCAGCAGCATATTCTCAAGTAAGTATTTTATAGTAAGCAATGATTGCGCAGAACAGTTACACATTACATATTATGGTATTGAACTATTATTATTATCACTTGTCAATTATGTGTAAGCAACTTTATTTGTTGTGTTGTAGTCAAGATCATATCAACTCATGATTTTGGGTATAGTTTACCCTAGTTTTCTATTAGCTTTTTGCATGCATAATCCTTATTTGCAAAATTACTATAGCTATAGTAATATTTAGATGCAAGTAATCAGCATTAGTCAAATGTAACTTACCTGAACAAAGCTTCTTCCCACAACTGGGGTACTCAAAATGTATCATATCAACCAAAGCAAATGTAACGCTCAATTTAAGCTATGAGTTGTATCAGATGTCCTATTGCAATAATTGAGAGGCAGACAGATGTGACTGACTGTACCATGCTGGTTTGTTGCTTTTTTGTTTGAGGTCAGTTTGGCAGCCATTTGTAGCAGATGAAAGGTTTCATTCTGATTTAGTCTCCAACACACTCCCATTCAACACAGCCCAAAAAACATGACATTCCTTATTATACAGAGCATGACCTCCTGTTGATGTGTATGATGAATATGAGTATATGTTTGTCACAAGTTTGTGTTTTCTCTTTCCTAGTGATTGACCTACTGGCAGCCCTAAACATGTCCCACCACATGAGCGGTGTGACCAGGCTGCAGAGTCCCAGCAGTGTGATTTACAAATTACGTCCCAGAGCTCCGTACCTGACTCTTCCAGCTGAATATTCCAACTTGTTGTACTCCAACCTTCGGGGTAGCATGGGGGTGCATCTGGTGGGGCATCAGGCGCCAGGCTCAACTGCCACTCTTCTTTCTCTCTCCTCTGGATCCTCGCCTGTTTTTCAAGTCATCTCCTCCACCCTCAATCACACACTACATTTGGACTACCAGGCTGGAGGAGGAGCTCGGGGCCTTGTCAGCGTTCAGTTCCCCGGGAGAAACCCCTTCTCCAGGGAGGAGTGGGTGCAGTTGGCTGTGAGCCTGGACACCGATAGACTGGTATTTTTTGTTGACTGCCAAGAAGCTGTGCTTCTACCAATAAAAAGTGAAGAGAGAATCAACCTGGAACTGCCTCAAGATGTTGTTGTCACTCTGGCCAGCACACCAAGAAAGAGAGACAGCAAGTTTAGTGTGAGTTCTGCAAACATGTACATACTCACACACTGACATGTTTGAAGCCACTTGCAGGTCAGCATAATCACAAAAAAGGTTGAAATATGAAAGAAACAGCAACATTACAGTATTTTGAGCTATGTAACTTTATGTCCAAAATGTAAGCAATAATTCTGCAAACGTACATGTTCATATTATATGTTCTGTCTCAATTCAATGCACTAAGGATTTCTATGTTTCTTTATGAATGCAGGGATATTTGAAGGCGGCAGAGATTTCAATGAAATCGTATCTAAGGCGACCATGGCTCTGTGACAATGTTACAGGTAAGAAAAGATAAACCAAAACTGTAAATCCTTTTCTTTGTTTGGATGGTCAAATATTAGGAAACAACCCTTTCATTGTCAACATTTTACTAGAGATCTTGGATTAATTTCCTTCTTTAAAAAGTATTTATGTGTATGCACACTTGCGTGCACCCACTGTTTGTCTGTACATGGGCATCTATATATTCTAGTAAGTAACAGCATGCTGAAAAGCAGACACTGCAGAATGTATGCCAGAGGCTGCAGTGTCATCCCTCTCTCATTTCCTATTGCTACATTCTTTCTCTTTATTACTGGCACA